GAAGCCCAAACATGAACCCTACGTTAGTAATTTAGCCGGTTTCATAACAGATCAGGAGAGAAACATTCAGCGATGGAGTTTACCGAGCTTCCATAGTCAAAATACAACGTCAAATGCTGACACTTTAACAGATTCTGAGACATCTTCACAACAAAGGACCCCCAGTGATGGAAAAAAGCTTACTTCTGCTGCTGCTCCAGAGACATTTGAGATGCAGCACTTGTGGGAAAACCTGGATAGTAAAGAAACAGCTATAGTGGAATTTTCTAATGAGAAAAGTGAAAGAAAACTTTGACCGTGCTTGCTCTGGGTTTGACTGAACTTCTTGTCCTCTCGCGCAAGTGGTTCTCACATGGGTTTGCTGAAAGTGTGAAGGGCAGAACACAACACTCAGACAAATCCTGAACACGAGGAATTGGGCACCTAAAGAGAATGCACTATGGTGACATGCTTTAAGCCACTTGGTTGAAATCTGTGATCCTGTAGGTAAAACTGTAGGGAGCCTCAGGAGTGAACGCAAGCTAGCTAGCGCACATGGCAGCGAGCTGTGCAGGCTCACCCACTGAGTTTATCAGGAAAGCAGAGGTGGCTCTTCTGTCCACTTTGGATCCACACTGAACGATGCGACCTTTGGCCGCTCCTTCAGATTAAGGTCCGTGACATCTCTGTAAGACCTACCAATAGTTTCGGTTTCCACTCAAATGGCTAGGAGGGGAGGTGTGGGCTCAATTCCTTACCCAGCCTGGAGAGATTCAGCTCACCATCTCTGTCTGCAGGAATGCTTGAAAAATCAGTCTCACCACATGTGTAGGGCAAAAGCCCCCCTCTCCTACTGAAGCTGTGCCACTGCAGAGTGGGAAATAAAAGGATTAAATGTTTAACTTCATTAAGAAAAATGGAAGAGGCAAAGCTGCTGATGAACTGGGCATGGGGGTCTGAGCCTTGACCTCTGCTCCTTGGAGCATGTATATGTTGTACCTGGTGGCTGTTTATTGTAAAATGCTGCTCCCAGGTGGCCTCCCTGGTGATGCCAGGACTGTGGCTCTCTCTCAAGAGGTGATGGAGCTGCAGGAGCAACTGAGCTTAGGGCTCCACTCTTGCAGAGATCCTCAGCTGGAAGGCTTCAGATATCCCAGGTAGACAAGTAAATGGCCCAGGACCACTAGCAAAAATTGGTCTCTGCTTCCTTCCCCTCCTTGTCTGCTCCCACACTTGTCCAGATGTGTCACACACATCCTCCATTAACTCAGACCGGAGCCAGCATTAGGTGGCTCCTGCTGCTCCAGGGGCGGCTAAGCTGCCTCCCTGAACCTCCTGGTAGCAACCTGGCCTTTCAGCTGCCACTTCTACAAGAAGTCTCAAAGCAGGCCCTGAAAGCAGCGGCAGCTCTTTGGTTTCAGCTCTCATTCACATCTACACAGACTCAGTCTGGAGCGTGAGTCCAGCATTCCCCCATGAGCGAGCATCCAAGTAGATGGTCTCATTAGACAAGGGAGAGTCCAGGTAGCTCAGTGACTGGGAGGAACAGAGGGAGGGGAGACAAGGGAATGATGGGGCTGCAGCAGCCAACAAGTGGCATGGGCTGTGTGGATAGCCTGTCCACCCAGCAGTCTTGCTCAGAAAGTTGCACTTCAGCCAACAAACTATGGTTTCTATCAGGGTAACTGGTAGCACCAGTGGCTCCTGAGAGTCTTCAGGACCCCCTGAAGCTGGGAAAGGAATGAACAGATTTGCTTGCTCCTGCTCCTATGTCCAGCTGCTTAAGTGAGGAGCCCTTCCAGTAAGGCTGTCACATAGCACACGACTCTGCTATTCCATCTGGGTAGGTTTGGGAGGGGAAAAAATCAACCACTCTCCTCACTTCTACTTCTTCCAGCTTTGTTTCAGTCTGGGAACTGTTGGTGTGCATTAGACATGCTCTGAGCAGTGTCTCCCTTTCAAATCCTTCAAAGACACTAGACAAAAGCACATGTATCAGTTTAGGAAGCAGAGGACACTACTTAGCCCCAGGAAGATGTGTTTAAACTCAGATTATGGGAATTTCAGGTGTGCAGAAAAGCCAAGCACAGATTTCACAGGCACTTACGGAGGCACTTCTCCATGCTATTGGATGAGGTGGTGCCAGTGTCTGACAGCAGCTGAGTACTGAGAATCAGTCACAGTTTTGCAGTAAGGCATTCTGGTGCAACCTCACCCTTGCCACCCGCAACAAGTCCTCAGGCAAATCGAATTGTTATGGTCAGTTTTGACCAACAGAATGAGAGCCTTGACAAAGTGAAATGATACTGAAATAAACAGCACCTTAACCTAGCAGTCTGATTCTTTGGGTGGCTGTTACTAGGTAATGGTAGCTTCTGGCAGCATCCTTTAGCTTTTCAGCCATCAGAGCCCCGGTCTGCTGACTCTCCCGAGGGAAGAGGACTCTATCAGCCTGTGGCAGTGGTGGAAACACATAGCTTTCCCTTCCCTACATTAGCAGAGAAAAAAAAGGCATTGTTCCCACATTCACTCTTTCTTCCCTATTCTCTATTTTTTTCTTTGAACCAAAGCAACACTTTTCAATTCAACATTTTCTTAGTTTAATTGCATCTGCAACTGTCATGGAACTTCACTTACCAATCAGCTTAACTTTAAGAAACAGTAAAGTTTAGGTATAAATGATACATTTTACACGTGTCACACAGCTAGACACAAAGTTAAAGCAAATGCTGCTCTCCTTGAAACACTCCTCTATAGAGCTTTGTTAAATTCAGGAGAGCAATACAGGTTTCGGAGGAGTTTGGCCATTCTCCTCCCAGCTGTGCAGGTACAGGAAGGGTTTTCAGTCATTATGGAGGAAGTCTGCCCTGTTGTCTAGCTGTGTCCTCACAGTACGTAAGCTTGAGGAGCTGTGCTTCTCTCTGTAAGGGGATTTCAGCCAGAAAACAGATAACTGTAAACTGCCCAGTACAAACCTGCACTGAGGGTCCACTCCCACTACATCTCCTTACTCTCTTCTCACCTCAGCTTCCACCAGGGCTTAAGATGTTGGAGCAAAGTGCTTATCCTCCCCAGCCCAGACATCAGCGTATTTCATGAGGCAGTGCTAAACCTGAAGATGCCGTCTCAGCTTCACATCATCCAGCTCTGCTTATCTTCCATCACCTTCTTCTCAGCCTAGCCGCTACCTAGGACACACACTGCTGCTTTCCACCAAGGCCATTATGCATCTTATAAGGAACGATTTTGCTACCTCTGCCGGCACTCCCTGGCCCATCAACTATGTTTGTTCTTCAGTGGAGGGTAAGGGTAGCCACACCGTAGCTATTAGGAAGATAAAAGCTTCAGTTAAGTCCCATAGAGATGCCTGTTAGACATGTAGACACATTAAATTAGGAATGACTGCTCTGTGAAGTCCCACAAATGTAATCTGCACTACACAAATAGCACTGTGCACGTAATGGGCCAGCTCCAGATTAGCTGCAATATTCTGTTTGTTGCTTGCAAAGAAGCTAGTGTTGGGATGACTTCCCAGAAGAAATTTTGTCTCCTCATTTAGTCTGCTATCCCACTTTTGCAAACATCCGCAGGCTCTGATTTTGGGGTTCTGTGCTCTGTTACTCACATCTCCCAGTACGCTATTCTCCTCAGCATGGTAAATGGACTATTTTAGCAATTTACAGTTCATGTTTGCTTATATAAAATATGTCAAATTATTGCATGAATAAAAGCATGTTGAGAAACACAATTGTCTTGGCTGTATTGAACTGTCAAGAAGCACTTCTTGCAAAGGTGTGACTTATCATGCAAGTCAGCTTGATGCCTACCAGGAATAGTGAGGCAAACCTACAGAATCTGGCAAGGCTGGAGAAGACTGAGGATAGAACAGGGCCAGGATAGACAAGTCAGAGCAGCAGCTTGCTCCCATCAGATAGTGTTAATCTTGAGCAGGATAAGATATATCAGGGCAAAGAGAGGGCTGGTCCCTGCACACACTGCCGAATTTTGCACCTATGGCTTGGATGTGTGAATGCTCTGTTCTGGGATCTGTAGAGCTGAGTTGTTGGTGTAGGGGCCGACTGGCTGCAGGGGCATGTCCCATCATCTTTAAATTCCGCCATCATAAATAACAGATCTCTGACTGCAAGCTCATGTTTGAGGAATATATACCTATTTTAGAGAAACTGAAAGGTACCAATGTGTTAAGTCTGCTGCATAGTAGGGGAAACAAAAATAACCCCCTGCTGTTAATTGACTGAGAAGGCTTTATGGATGTTTGTTGCGGTTTACAACTATACAAACAACATTTTCTAGACCAGTAAGTTATCTCATGGTCACTCTACTCTTTAAGAGTGACATGGACAAAGGCGAAACAAGGCAAGGCTGGCCTGAAATACATGGTAACTTCATACAGCTCCATCTTGCCTGCAGAGAGACAAGTGGCAGCAGGTCCCCACTGCTACAGGTTGACAGCCTGGATGCCAAATGCGTAACACAATGTGGCTGCAAAAAGGGTCGTGAAAACATGCACCAGAGAGAGGGAGTATTTCATCCTGGAAGGCAGGATCAGTATTTCAGAGATACCTACAAGCAAGCCATCTTGCTTTAATAATACTTACTGAGTCTTACAGCTAAAGCCTTCAAATCTAAGGGGCTGTGACCCCAAAGCTGCCAAGGCCAGTAATGGATGTTGTGTTGGGTCTGCGCTAAGCACATCCAGACAGGCAGCAGCAACAAGTCCCCTGGGGCCACCAGCCCCTGCCCCAGCTATGCCACAGTGCGGCCAGTCTCCAGCTCCCCACAGCCCTGCATATGGGAGGTGCCTGCTGCATAGGGCTGGAGCTGCAGGCGTTTATCAGCTTTAGTGAGACACAAGCAGCCCCAATGACCCAACACATCAAATCTCTCCCCTCCAGGCTGCAGAGCAACCTGTATTTTCAATTTCTGTTGCATGCCTTCTTCCCCCTTGCCCTGTAAGACAACACAAAATGAAACTGAAACAGCACTAAGACCAAAGCAGATTTTGTTTGGTTAAGTTTTATTCACATGTACAGGGGCAGTATCTCTTCTAACAATCCACATACTCCTACGGGTGTAATTTTGGTAAATCTTCTTTTGCCAAATGAGCACAGCTACCTATGGCTGTTTCACACCTCTGCCAGTGCTGAAGCAGCTGCCACTGGTGACAAGAAGTGGCTGAGCAAGAGACAGTAAATGTCAAGTGCTGGTGCATTGATCCTGTAACTCATCTGAGGTGGGGAGGATGCATCGGTACCCCTTTGTACCTCCCATTGCAAGGGTTGTGGTCTGGGTTTAGTAACGCATATAGATGCTGCTCCCAGCTGCCCACACCGCCAAGGGACAGAGGTGTCAGCTACTAAAAGCAGCATCTGACCTAAGAAATAGGCATTGAATGCTGAGACCCAAAAGAGGAATAGGAAAGTGACAAGTGAGAATGAACCCAAGGGAAAAAGCAAATTTGAGAGATGGCGTAAGGAGGAGGAAATGGTGTGCAAGTAACAGTAGTGGACATTAGTGGTCATACAGACATCAGTCAAATTCCCCTTTATATAAACTGGTTGGAACAAGCCAGTATAAAAAGAATTTCCATGGTACTAAGGAAACAAGGATGGACAAAGGACTAGCCATGGAAAATAATGAGGAAAAGGAAAGCAGTGAGAAACTAGCACACAAGAATAAAAAAGAACACCCAGAGCAGCCCAGACTGGGGTTAGTTTCCCCTGCTCATAACTGCTATCTTGTCAGCCTGGCACTGTTCAGCCTATTTTATCCTTCCTGCTCTTTTGCAGACCTGAGTGCTGAGCTGTTTGCACTTCACCCTGAGAGCTGTGATGTCCGTCAGTTGTTTAGGAAAAATAGTTTCTGAGATGTAAACACACGGAGATTGAACCAAGCTGTGTAATTTGGGACAAGTATCACATCAAAGCCCTTAAAACCTGGTGGGGGACAGCACAACCGCATTTAGGTCCAGAGTTTCAGTTAAAGCCCTTCTTCACGCTTGTGTTGAAGATCATTACATTAACATTTAGGTTAAGGCAGAATAAACGCTATAAGGACTCAGTCGTAATCCTTCCTATGAGCAGCTTTTGCAAATCCCACTCTGTCATTCCCACGGTCAAAAATGCAGTAAAACGCAGACATAAAGACGTCTCCTAAAATCCAGAGCAGACCATTGCGAGTCGGGATGTCAAGAGACTGAAAGCCGCTCATGCAGAAGGTTTGGTCTTCAATAGACTCCTGGAAGAGAAAGCACAAAGTGTCCTTGGGGTAGCCTGCTCCAGGCCCATCTAAAGAAGCAGGAAATACGGAACAGGGAGGCTGCAGATGCGCACCTTTATGATGTACTGCTCTGCTGTCAGCTTGTACTCATGGTGTCCAATCGTGAAGCTTATGTGAGGCAAACTGGACAGTCTTCTGCAGTCTACAAGAAACTGTGTGATGCACGGATTGAGGCGGGATAGGTTTGCCTTTTTTTTTAAGTATTGCCCTTTGAATACAAGACTTTAGCAGCAGGTAATAGCGAATTTGCTACAAGCAGCATCAGGATGACTTATGGCCCAACACTGCCCTCCAGCTTTCTAGCTCCTGCACTGGGTCAAACCAGCCTAGCAGCTCAGACTGCTGCACCAAAGCCCCAAGGAACCCAGTACTGATGAAAATCCTCGTGAGCCTCAGAAGAAATTAGGTGAAGGGAGACTGATGTGCCCCAGGTAGAACTCAGAAGCAAAATTGAGTGTGTGAGCCCCAGTGAATCCATTTCAGCAAGCAAAAGACTTGGACTGGATGGAGGGAACTGCCTCCAGCCTACGTAGGGAGCATTCACCCCACTCCCTCCCCTCACATCGTCATTTTAGGGGAAAAAAGCCAGTGAGGAATACAGTGCTTTGTGCTTACACACTGCTCTGAAGTGGGATTTAAAGATCAGAACTAAACTCTGGCATGGTCATTAATTCCCATAAGTAATACATCCACTTACAGTAATACAGAAGATAATTTCCTGGCCTTTCTTGTTATTTCATGAAACAACGGGTATGTTAAATGGCACTGCAGAATGCTCCAAGCCCCAGAGGGATCTTTGTGGAAACTGTAGTGTTTAAAGTCATTGTTTTAGAGACTTCCTAGAAGGAAGAATCTATTTTTGTTGCTGTTAAATCTGCTTTATGAAAACATACCTCTAAATCTTGTGTATATTTATCAGGTGTCATACCATTAGAACAAATAAATGATGGGATACAGAGGATAAGACTGAAAAAGCCAGTGTGATAGTTTGTAGGAGACAAGAAGCAAGACATTTTCATTTACATTTATTCATTCACATAGCTAGTATGTCCAGAATAAATTAATCCTTGCTGGTAAGAGATATAAGTTCTGGTAAAATCATTGATGGATGCACCCACTTATAGTGGGATAAATTTGAGCCTATATATTTAGCCTATCTGTGCTTGCTGCAAAAAGAGTCATAGAAAGTCTTGCTTTCAGGATGCTTTTTTGCAGAATCTGAGATGCTGGCTGAGTGTTCTTGTGTCAGCACTGGAGTATATAGACTTATACTGCCATGACCTGTTCCTGGTTTATATTATGCTAATATAAGTACATTGGAAATACACAAGTGCCACTCCAGGTCTTCCATTTACAAAAGGAGACAGATTAAAAGTCCACTTATGTCTTTGATCTTTGCAGAGCAACCATAACACTCAATGCTCTTCCAAGAGCAGTCGTGGGTCAGGATCAAGACAGCTAGCTGCAAAGTTGACAGAAGTCATACAGGGCAGCTTTACTTGGTGCACTGGAGCTGTGGTGATGTGGCGATTACCCATGGGAATCAGCCAAGGGCCAGCAATAAGGCATTTGAGTAAAAATAAGCTGCTCTTTCCCTGGCAGCAGGTGGATTTAGCCATCTCAGGCTTGCTAACTGAGTGCTTAGATGTTACAAGGGTTCAGTTACACCATGTGAAAACTGCCAGCAGGGAGATGCAAAGGGCAGCAGAGCGACATCCCAGCCTGGGATGGCAAGGCCATGGGAAAGCCTAAGCTACCTCAAGCAACTTCGGCTCATGCAAGCCCCCCCAAGACTGGTGCAGGGAGTCAGGGTTTGTAGGAGCAGGGTCACAGAGGCCATCAAATGGTACAACAAAGATGTTCTGTCCCACTGGAGGAGGAGGAGGTTCTCCTCAGAGGGCAGGCATGGTTGGGAGAGGGCAGGACTTGTGGCAGAGATGCAAGGGGGATGCAGGAGAGAGCAGAAGGGAAGAGAGGAAAACCAGTGAGGAGACAGAGGAAGAAGAGACAGAGAGGTCTGTCCAAGCACGTGGCCCATCTGCCAGGAGCCAGCGTGGTGAGTGACTCCCAAGAGCCCTGGCACGACACTGCTTGCTCCACTGCAAGCTGACAGTGAGAGGTCTTGTCAGTGAAGCCATTGTATGATGCAATTAAAATATCTTTCCCTTTTCATTTGATGCTGATGGGGCTGGCCATGGCAGCATCACTGGGGAGCCAATGTCTACAGCTGAGGACAGTGAAAATCCTCTGATTTTATGAAAGAGAATGATCTCTGATGTAGACTACAGATGGAGTCCTCAAACAGATTCCCCCATTACTTTCTTACGCGCTGGTACAGATGAGTATGGGAAAGGAAGTGGACATTTGTGAGGAGGGCTGAGGCAGCAAGGCAGATGGGTCAAAACCAGCTTGGTTGTGAGTTCAGTGCTGTCCTGGAAGCAAAGCTTTTGCTGGGACATTTCTGAGCTATTATTTTGGTTATTTTCCCACCCTATAATCTTTTTGCACCAAATACCAGTTTCTCTTCCTGTTTTCTGACTGGTTTCTGGCTCTATAGTTTTTACCTCTCCAGTACGTGATGGACTTGCCCCAATATACTCCTGTAATCGCCTGATTTGTGAAGAGGGGCCCGTGATAAGAGAAGTGCCTGAGTCAACGATGGCTTCACAGCCGTGGGAGCAAAATGCCACCCGGCCCTGGATCTTTATACTGCAAGCGAAAAACAAAGCATCTTTAAGCAAATGGCATGTACACTCTGACTGAAGCAGCACATTATTGCTAGCTAAAGTGCCAGAGTACGGACTAAGGTTAAAACTAGCTGCCAAGCTTTGCCAGTCTTTAAAGACAAGAATGTCTTTAGAAGCCAAGAAGGTAATAAAAGGAAACTGCATGAGGAAGATGTCCTGTCTGTGGACTCACTCTCTCAAGATTCCTACTGCCCTAATCATTTGCTGCCTGCAGATGAATTTGTTCTCACCCACAGGTATGTGTTGTCCTTGATTTACACAGCATGATGGAGGAGGAGCAAAGAGACACTGACTTTTTTGACCAAGGTTAACAGGAAAGATGAGAGCAAGACCCAGAGCTGGATTCTGTTCCTGTGTGCCTTGACCTCTTAACTGAATAGTCTACCAAGAGTCAACTTGACCACTGGTGTATCATACTAAAACATTTTAACATGCTCTGCCAGAAAACAGCCACCCGTATCTCAGCCGATTCAAAGAGCTAATATACCCCTGCCTCATTCTGGTGAAACCCCTCTTCTAAAGGCACAAGGGTAAAACACTGCAGCTGAGTCCTCCTGTATAACCAGGTGTTTCTGCCTGCAGGTTTTACCTGGGGAGGTGAATTCCACCAGATATTTCATACATACTTGTTCACGTGTATTTGCCAATAGCTTTTCTCGGTGACTGGAACCCAGTGGATTGAACCTTTGTAGAGAGAATGGTCTATCCCCCCCAGAATCAACTCACCACCATTCTCAGTGTCGTCTCCTCTGAAAGCAGAAGACAGGTTAACACAGACATGGGAGCGTGCCAGCAGACACTTAAAAAAGCAAAAGACAAACCACAGCCGTTCCTAAATTCAGGTATGGGAACTGAAAGGGATTATTTCTAACCTATAACTGCATATGTCCCATCTCAGAGCCTCCAAACAACCTCTGAGAAGATGTTCTGTAGGCTGCCAAGGACTGAGATAGGCAGCAGGAGCAGGCTGAGCCAGTTGCTGCTTTTGCCTCAGAATAAACAAAACAACAAAAAAAAAACCAATCAAAACCCAAGAAATGGGGAAAATTCCTTTCTTCAGTTGAAGCTTTATAAAGATGCATGGCTGTCAACAGTTAAAACAGATGTATTTCTCTTTTGGCAGTGTCGCTTTAAAGACTGACCTTTTCAGATAGAAAGAGAAGACCGGCTCCTCTACCAGCTGCTGGTTCATGATGCTGTCAAACACAGGCAGAGCATTGCCTACTATCAAGGAGGGGTATCCCAAGCCCAGCACACCATCAAAATGGGCAAGGGCGAAGGTTGTTCCTGGCTCAAACACTGACTCGCCAAAGTCCTGGCCCTTGATGGAGATGTTACTGATCTGTTTGGTACCAAAAAAAGAAAAACAACAATCCCAAAACAGTTGAAAGCAAAGACACCATCAATTAGAATACATTATCCACATTTCAGATCCATATGAATGGATTCATTCCTTTTATAAAGCCTGCACAATATCCTTAGGTGACTTGCATCAATAGAACAGGTGCTCATTTGGCAGGTAGGCTACATCAACTCCTTGTAATGCCTGGATTCTATGGCTGTTTGTTTATAAATCCAAGACAGGACCCAAGGAGACAAGCAGAAATGAAAAACAGAATCTTATGGGTTTGTCCTGGTAGCACAAAGCTGGAACAGCACCTTCACCTCTCAGCACCCAGCTTGCTGGGGCCTCCACCCTGCCCTTGCCTAAACCAGGTAAGGCTTTCCAGGGCAAAGCCAGAATGTGAACTGCCTTAAAACAGCTGACCTGGAGGCTGACACCCATTTGAGGTGGACACTTACCTGCAGCGTGTCTTTGCCAGCAATGCCCAGAAGCTGTCCCGTGCCATACTGCAAGGAGAAGGCTTCCCCACCGTGCTCGTACGAATCTGACAGAAAGGACTTAAATTTCTGGTGCACCCCTACACAAAACAAATGACATTTGTGCACCGAGGGGAGGTAATGGTGATGCACCTGCTCCCCAGTGCAGAACCAGATGAGATGCAAGAGGAAGGTGTTGATGGAGGTGGATGTGCCCTCCAGACAGCCCTATTTTTCTGTACCTTGGAGGTTACTTGGGGTTGTAAAGACAAATTAAAACAAAAATGGGCATTTTCACCAGTATTGGTAGCTCTCAGGTTTATTTTCATGCCCTTTACATTAGGTACCTCATGGTGCAGAAGGACCCATGGCAGTGCAGCCAGTGCCTGCCCTGGCTGTGGGGTGATGTGGAGGGACAGAGGAGCAAGCCAGGGAGGGGACAGTGACCCTCAGGGGTGCTCCAAATCTTCTCTTCCCAAATCCCTGCTGCAGGCAAGCTCCTTGGGAAAGGAGAAGTGTCCAAGGAACCCAAGACACAAAGCAAAAGGGAGAGTAACATTTCTTACTGCATGCTTCGCTGATACAATAAGCAGAAGGGACCCAAAAGTTGGAGGAGCCGGTGTCAAACACGACGGTGAACTTCTGGGGCGGTGTGCCGACACTCACAACTCCATAGTACTGTGCCTGGGGGGCAAACAACACAACCTGCTCTGGGCTGCACTGCTATTCCCGAGAAACAGGCAGACGTGGGAGCATCACACAATGCTTTCTCAGGGGGTTGGGTGCAATTTGAACATGAAGGCATGCACAGGGCACTGCGTGTGGCTCCAGGAGTGGCTGTGTGCAGCAGGTTTCACTCCAGCTGCATGCATAACAGTGCAGGATTTTTAAAGCCTGTTAAGCAAACACTCAGTTGGGTTCCCCCATGAAGTCAACAAGCCCCCTTGCACCAACTTCAGCAGTCAACTCCAAGACAAAACTCTCGCACAACCACACAGGCAGCTCCTTACTGATGTCAGTAAGAAACCAGTGGTGCAGAGACAGCATGACCGGCCTCTGTCAGCGTCAGAGGGCTCCAACCGATGGCACACTGTCACATGTGGCTGAGCTTTTTCCTTTGTAATTATCAGCTATTAGAAAGTCAAAAAATTGCTCTGTTGCACTGACTGTGTCTGATGAACTGAACAAATTCATCCAGTGGAAATGAGTGACCATTCCTGCATACCAGCTGAGGATAATCTGTGAATACGTGAGTGCTGAAGCGAAGAGCTTATCCACATCCCGAATACAAGTGTCTAAGTGCCCCTATCTGGCCCTGGAAGAGCATTTCAGCATTAAGAGGCCTATTTTTAGGAAGAGGCATTTCTGGAATTCAAGCGCAGATAGAAAAGCAATAGCCAGTGCCAAGCCTTTTGTAGCAATGCAAATATTTGAATGTGTATCTTCAAGAGCATACTTGTTAATACACTGAATATAGTTTCTGACCCCAGAGTTTAGGGTCTGGATGAGATAGTCATGAAAAGGCAAGCAAGTGCACCATTTAAGAGAACATACAGTAGGATTTTATTCCTTCCTGTATTAAACAAACCTTTATCAATTAATCTGCAAAGTGAGGCAGTTCTAAGACATGTACATCAAAAAGAAAAAACACAAACACCTTGCGCTGAAACCTCCACTAAAGTGTTCCTGGTGTTAGTTGGATATGCTGGGGAAGGGGGTGTGTTTTGTCCTTCTGAGATTTATCCCCTCTTTGATAAGCTTTAAAGCAGGCTGATATGTTTCAGTCTCCTTTATTCTCCTTTTACAGAAGAATACATCTTACACACATCTCTAGCTCACCTTGACATATTTCATTACAGCTCTCAAGTGTCAGGAAGTTCTTGCTGAATTAATTCAGCCTTCCCTTCCCTGCTCACATGCAGCCTCCACAATGTCTCTGCAACTTAGCTTTTCTTTACATAAGCATAACAGAAGGATCAAATAAAACAGAGAACAGAGACCATCCAAGAGGACAACACGCTAAACCCAGGAAAGACAATCTACAGAATGGCTGACCTGCTGACTTGCCTGTCTGAGATCCAATGGAACTCCTTTTTTACCTTTTTCAATTTAGGTAGTCAGTTCAGTCAGGTTAGTGTGAGAGCCAGGTCAGTCTCCAATATTTAATACACATTAAGCTCAGGAGATAAAAACAGACAAATAAAAACCCTACTTGGGTCTTTGCTATCACTGATTTATGACACCACATGGTCAAATAAATGAGATTTGGGGGATTTTTTTTATACCATGCAAACATCCAAGTTTCTGATAAATAGAATACAGCTAAATGAAGCAATCAAGTTCTGCCACAAAAAAAAAAAAAAGCAGTCCTGAACACAGATTGATACAGGCAAACCTACATTAGTCCGGATTCTCAATCAAGTCCAATCCAGATCTACACAAAAATGAAACTTGTCAGAGAACTACCACTGCTAGACTACATCAGCTTTCTACACAGGTCCCATGCTAACCTGGATCTAGACATGTGATATTTTGCAGACTAGCAGACTATTTTGTATGATCGAATACCTAGTGATATTATGATCTAATAGTGTAGAGCAGCAAGCCACCTCAAGCCCTATATATTCATTGAGAGACTAGATTTGAAATGTGCTGGAAAAAAATAAAGCATCTTCGAGAGAACAACAAATCCTTACGATTGTATTACCAAAACTGTACTTACATTCATGTAATCATACAGCCTTTCTGAAGCAGTTCCAACTGATAAAGCAATATCTGCAGGGAAGCAATGCAGGTACCTCCGGGCAAAAATGTCAGGGTGGTGATTCCTCCAAAACTCCTCTAATTCTCCCTTTTCTTTCAGCTGTTTCTTGATAGATTTGAATCGAATGAGGGGGATTCTACAGAAACAACATAAATGCACAAAAATTCACTGGGTCTCCTTTCTAGAGCTCTCATACACTCTTTTATTGTTAAATTTGCTTATTTTTTGAGACCTCAAGTAGCAACCCTGGAAAGCATCTCAAACGTGCCAGTGATGCTAGATGCATTTTCTTACCGTTCCAGGGCCAGGGTTAACGGGACATAAAGCACAGCCAACAGCATCACCCGCATGGCTCCAAGCAGGTCAGAGTCTAACAACACTCATTTACTCAGAAGTCCCTTTTTTATAGCCCGTTGTCAGCAGAGGGCTGTTCGCCAGGTCAATCAATCACAGGAGGTCAGTGCTTTGGCAGAAAAGTGATTCATTTGCTCTCAGAGTAACCGCTGGATTGTGCAAATAGCAGTGTCCAGGGGAGCTACTAAGACAGATGACCAGGGCACAGTGTAGACCAAATAGACATTTTATTTGTAGACCAAATAAACATTTTATTAACAATCCTTAGTGTCATTTACATAAATACATGGTATGAGCTTGGCTACTGTTAGGATGGGAAAGAGGAGGTGGTCCAGGAACTTGCCTGGTTCCCTCCAAGTAAGCTTCTTTTCAAGGTTATTTTAGTGACAAGCAGCCCAGATGTGTCCAATGCAGAGAAAGAGGACATAACATGTAACCATTTCCCTTTTACATGGAGGTATTTCAGCAGGGCATGTGATAGGGTTATGACAAGTCATCCCTTAACAACTGAAGCTTAATTCCCTATTTATGGGAGAGCTCCAGGCTAAACATAAATATGACTGCCACATGAAAAAATGGGGATCGAAAGTAAAAACCATGACAGGCTGCAACACACAGTAATAAACAGCCAGTGGCTTTGTGCGGGTTTCAGCAAGACACTTGGAAGCGCTTGCTCGGGTTTATTTTCCTGCGAGTTTCCTGAGGTTAGCGGTTCCCACCCCTGCCTGACACTTGGATCCAACTCCAACTGGCGGAAAAGTCACGGTGTCGAAGAGGCTGATCTGACAGAGAGCAACCCCAAACCCATTAACTGCCTGCGAGGAAGCTCAGCGTTGAGACTGTGAGTTACTAGTGAGACATTCTGTATCTTTCCTCTGCATGAGGAAGCGCAGTGAGCAATCACATGCTGCAGCCTGGCATGCAACAAAGCTAAATGTGAATAATCAGCCTGTTTTGTTCAAAGGCCTATGCTAGGATGCCGGGAAAAGAGCAATGACAACTTTTTCCCTGGAATACATCACTTATTTCAGATGAACTGCTCACCACATGAGGGTGAACTGGAATTCAGTACCTTCCCAAAAAAGAGAGCAGATGTTTCGCACAGTGAAGAGTGAATGTCAAGAACATGGAGGAGGCAGGAGTCATCATCTGCTCTAGCAGCAATGCTCCAGTCAAGAAAAAACAGGAAAAAAAACCAAACACACAGTGTTTTGCCTTAAAATAAACTAATTCAGAGCTCTAGTCTTTAGTCCCCTGGATTTTGAGACACACATTCTACTTTTTCAAACTTACCTGCAAAAGCATGAGGGCTACAGAAACTCAGCAAAGGCTGTTGTCCAGAGCTGTGTGCAGAGCTTTGGATCTGAAAAAGCACCAGCAGCTCTAGTCTTAATTTACATAAAAAATACTAAAATCTAAAAATCACAGCTTTTACATTGGTTTCCATTTTACTGCGATTGGTCTTTAATTCCTTAGCCCTGAGCAGCATTCCCTGTTTCTTGCAAACTCAGAGGTTTTACACAAGTTCTCAGCAAGCAATTATATTTTCTGCCCCACAGCTGTCCCAGCCACCGAGCTGCAGGAGTTGGGTGCTGGCAGTGAGGACAGTGAGCAATAGCTGTGGTCATCTGTGAACTTCCAGGGAGCAAAGGCATTTCTCAAGGAGCCTACATGCGCCACCTGATGCGCAGCAGAGCAGATGTCATGCCCCCTGGTAGAGCAGTGTCACTTTGACAAGAGCAAGACAACGTCTGTGCTGAGTACCTTTATCACTTGAACTTTTCCTCAAATGCCACAAATGCTTCTGGGAAGTCATTAATGTTCATATTGGAGGGCATCAGGATAACTGAAGACACGAAATGGCTTTCAAAACACCGCCCTGGGTCTGGTGAGGGGACTGCCTTTGCCTTAGAGCCTCCATTGAGTCGCTGGTTCTCAGAAAGCTCAAGATTATTCATTTATTGCAAATGTAGCCCTTTGTTGTCTCACCACACAAAGGTTATAGTTTCCCCAAATACTCTGATCTCACCGTGTGTTCCAAGCAGACATTCATTTCGCCAACAGAGGTACAAAATGCGGCAACAGAAGGTCATCGTGACTTATTTTGATAAGCTGGAATAATGATTAAACTACAATGCAAAGGATCCCCAAGTTGTTTGCAGCTTAAAAGTTCCAGTAGAAATAATTCAAGTAGAAAAAAAAATGTAAGTACGTGTGCCTATAAACATAAGGTGTACTGCAAAGTTGTTTCTCTCCATATGGATTATTAAGGAAAATATGACTAAACAAAGCAGCTGATACACTTTTACCTAGGCTTTTTTGTTGTCCTGATCGGCAGGGTATCTGATGAGATTTGTCTAAGGGACATGTCTTTGCTATGAATGTTAATTCATTATTATTTATGCCAAATGCATTTGATTTTCAACCCCTCTAGCCTACAGTACCTTACAGGGCAGGGAGCTTTGCATTTAGAAGGTGCCACAGCTCCTCGGAAATGGAAACATATACAAAAACCATGAGGGCCATGGGTCTATTTTCTTATCAGTCAGATGACATTCCAGGGTACCTGCTTGGGAAAGGATGCCCTGTGAACTCTGGGAATGAATGACAGGACCCCCACAGCAGTCCTCTGCCAGGGTGTGTAGTGCTCAAGCAGTAAGGTGGCTTCTCTGAGGTGCTCATTCAGTGTGAAGCAGCTGGTGCTGTTGGGACGCTATGCCCAGCATGTCCCGCCTTCTGTCATGACAGCAAGTATTTTCAGCGCCTCTCTTCCACAGCACAGCCACAGATGACTGCGGCATATCTTTGTTCTCCAGGCTTGATACTCTGCCCAGCTTCTCCATCCAAAACCTACTTCATGGCGTTCACGTTACAGCACTCACTGTTCTCTGTCTTGCAGCAACACTAGTTCCCAGATGTTCTCTCTGTTGTCCTCCCCCAGGAAACCCTCCTTACATTTCATAGCATCATTGCTGCATGGCACAGACACATCTTGCACAGAAAAGACTAGTAAACATCCTACAGCATACATTTGATTGATAGCTAAGAGCTGCTTTACTCTGGAAAACAAGTGCCAGTAGAGAGCTCTCTATTCCCAGATGTGACCAGAGATCAGAGGCCACCTCAACTGTGTGATATTGCCTTTTTCTCAATCTTTTGTTTACTCTGCCTTTTGTTTTTCCAAGAATATGTGACTCTCAGCAATCATGTATTTTGGTTGTGTAGAATGTAACACCCAGAAACCTACTGCAGGTTCTTGGAAGAAAGTATCTTCCCTAAATTACGGTAAGCGTGGAAAATGACAGCAACAAGCTGTAGGTATATCAAAGTAGAGAGCCAGCTGCTGGAAAGGCCATTTCACTTTAAAACAGGAGAAGGCTCACTTGGTGGAGACCTTAGAGCAGCCTTCCAGTACCTGAGGGGGTCCTACAACAAATCTGGAGAGGAACTTTTTACAAGGGCATGTAGTGATAGGACAAGGAGGAATGGCTTTAAACTGAAAGAGCGTGGTTTTAGATTAGACATGAGGAAGAAATTCTTTACTGTGAGGGTGGTGAGATGGTGGAAGAGGTTGCCCACAGAAGCTGTGGTTCTGAGCAACCTGGTCTAGAGGAAGGTGCCCCTGCCCATGGCAGGGGGATTGGAACTGGATGATCTTTAAGGTCCCTTCCAACCCAAACCAGTCTATGATTCTATGAAAACATTCTGTCAGTTTTCATACCCAAAGGTCATAGTAAAGCTATGTCCAACACACAGGTAGGATAATCCCCAGGAAAACTTAAAACAGAAGCAGTTCAAAAAGTCAAAGTATACAGAGGTGCCTGCACATGGGAATTCAAGATTTCCTCCTAGAAATCAGAGGTGCTCCTGACCTGAACAGCAATGAGTCTTGCTGAGAGAAGGAGGGGAACAGTTTACACTGTCACATCTAAATAGTCATAATTCTTAACATTGTATGTATCTCACTCATACCAAGTGAGAATCTGGATGGAATTAAATTCATGGGAGTTTCTTTTCAGGTTTTGGTAGGAACACAGGGACTGCAGTAGCACAGTTGGAAGGTGGCCGGAGGACAGCGTTGGCAGGTTGTGATAGTGAGCATATTAAACAGGGGTTCAGATAAGATGTAAAACATAATGTAATGAGAAAGGCCCTACAAAGTCAAGAGTGCCAGGAGCTATAGTAAACACCATTAAATTAGGAACATAAATAGTAGAACAGCTCAAGATAGCAGTTTGCCAAGTATTTGTGTTAAAGCTTTAAGATAAGCACTGGGTGGCAAGTTACACTCTGAAATTATGCATTTGGCACCTTGCAAAGTAAATCCCTAGAAGTGCCACCCGTCTGGAAAGTCAGTCGAGCCCTGACAGGTATTTTAAACACCAATTCGATTACGTCCGATGTTTCCGCTGAAGGTCTCATGAAAGCTAAACATCTGAGTTTAGAAATCTGGTCTTCTGCGCTGTTTACTCTTCCAAGCTAATCCCTGCAGAGAGCACTGGCTGCACAGACAGCACAGCCAGAGCAAGAAGTTAGGGGCTGGGGCACTGGGGAGATGGGCTGGGGCAAAATCAGTGAGCATTTACAGTGTGCATTGCAGGAAGAGGCAAGAAGGAATGTTGTTGGGGAGGGGCGAGCAGGAGCGTGTGTGAGAGAGGGAGACCCGCACTCTGCATCGTCCTGTCTGTAATCCCCATCACCAAACACTCATTTGGTTATCAGAAATGTTTCAGAGCCCTTGAGATTAACGGCTGGTGCCATGTAAACAGAGCCTTATATTGGGAAGACAGAGTTACTGGCAGGCCAGTGCACAGGCGGGCTCCTGTCCCGTACATACACTCCCAGCCATCCCCAAAGAAAAGTCACAGGATGGGCAACAGTCTGAAAGCCGTAGTTGCTTTTGTGCCCTCCAACGAGTGCCAGAAGTACCTCGTGGAAGACCTAGAAGAGATGCCAGTGGATAAAATGGTGGATCTGAGCGGCAGCCAGCTGAGGCGGCTGCCTCTGCACATTTGCTCTTTTAGGGAACTGGTTAAGCTGTACCTGAGTGACAACAACCTGAACCATCTGCCTCCGGAACTGGAGCAGCTGCAAAACCTGCAGATCCTGGCCCTGGACTTCAACAACTTCAAAGCACTGCCCCTGGTCGTGTGCACGCTGAAGCAGCTGTGCATCCTCTACCTGGGCAACAACAAGCTCTGCAGCCTGCCCCTTGAGCTCCGTCTACTGCAGAATCTCAAGACCCTCTGGATCGAGTCCAACTGCCTGCAGTACCTGCCCGAGGTGGTGTGCGAGTTGACTCTGCTCAAGACCCTGCATGCTGGCTCTAATGCGCTGCGCACGCTCCCCACGCAGCTGCAGTACCTGCAGGAGCTGCGCACCATCTGGCTGTCGGGCAATCTGCTGTCTGAGTTCCCCGCTGTGCTCCTGGACATGCCTTTCCTGGAGGTGATCGACGTGGATCGCAACTCTATCCGGTTCTTCCCCAGCCTGGCTCACCTCCCCGGTCTGAAGTTAGTGATCTATGACCATAACCCCTGCAGGAACGCACCCAAAGTGGCCAAAGGAGTTCGCAGGGTGGGGAGGTGGTCAGAGGAGACTCCTGAACCCCGAAAGCGGTCCGGGGCAGTGGTAGAAATTCCACTCGATGAGAGACCATCGCCACCTCCTGCCATCAAGCCTGAGCTGGAAGTCGAGCCCTGTTGATGCTTCACTCTGGCAAAGGTGGCAGTGCACTCACACCACCACCCAGCCTCTACTTCTTT